CCCAGCAATGTCAGAGCATTTTTCATCTCCAACAGAGAAGAACAAGTTTTGCTTACAACTGCACCATCAAACAAATATATTAGCTACACTGAATTTCTCAAGTAAATTAAAATGTAATACCGGTAAGTTTATAAAAAGCTGTCCTTAAGATCACATTAGTATAATTAATTCCTTTAATATCAAAACAAAACAAGAAAAGAAAAGTCCTCATATGTCTAAGTATACTGGTCTAAAAAAGGAGCATCTGAATTATGCTTCAGTGCAGGCCAGGTAAAGGGGGAGGGAGGTTACTTCATTTCTATGGAAAAATGACTAATTTTAATCAGCTCCAACAAGGTAACAGTGACTAGTAAGGCAGTAACAACAGAAATATAAAGTGCACAAAGCATTGAAGCAGTCAAATGATATTGTTTTAAGTTGATATTCTCAAAGTCATTTAAGAAAAGGTGTCCATACCAAATACGCTAGCAAATGTAATTAGCAAAGAGACCTACTTTATTAACATTGTTAAATCCTCAAAAATACAACTTTTATTATAAAACATTTAAACTAGAGAAAGTTTACAAAGGAATCACCACCTTCCACCTAAAGGGGAGTTAAGCTTTAAAAGTAGAGAATGACTGCTGAATAAGTAATCCACAATATGACATAAATGATCATTTCCATTATTGCCATATATAGCCTGTGACACCTCCTGGATGAGAAAAAAAGGTAATGGAAAGAACTGATTATAAGTATCTGCTTCCTTCTTATTACAACTAATCCAAAGAGCTTGTGTACAAAAGCAAAATCTTAGCTCCTAAATAACAAATTCATTATTTCACCTTATGTAAAATCTGTTTGTCACAGATACTGATTACTGTCAATAATGATCCCCTTCTTCACACAAATAGAGAACATAAAATTGTAAGAAACATATATACATATAGCAAGAGTCCCCTCATTACCAACAGCCATATAATTTTTAGCCAAAGCTTTTGTAAATGAGCAGTTTCTCAAAAATAAATAAATAAATAAATGTCGGAGAGGTGAAGGTATGATACATTCAATAATGAATGCATAATAAATAGCAATAAACATTAGCATGGAAAAATCTTAACTAATAAATCAAGTTTTAACTTAAAATATTTTTTGCTCACATTCTTATGGGAGAGGCAGCAGGTAAGGTGAGGAACTAACCTGAGGTCAAAAGAAAATTTACTATAAAAACAAAAAGCCATCAGAAAATGGAAGTGTATTTATCAAATCAGTAACGCAACATCTAATCTGCTCACTTTTTCTGAACCACACACTAATTTTTCTGGTATCAATAATGAAAAGACTTAGACTGTCCTTCCTCACAAACTGTGCAGTTTTTATTCTCGAATCAGCAGCTTTAATACCCACCCCCCCCACACCGCGGAAAAAAACCCAAAAACACAAAATCTGATTTTAAAATACCTAGTTTTCTAACCTCCCTCTCATTTGGGATTTTTAAGTCAAATTAATTTTATTCTTCACCCTCTCAATTCAAAATTTTATAAAGCATAATTTGCACTCAACTATTGTTATTAAGTTTCATTTTCATGACAAAAGTCTTTCTTTAAAAAAATCTTTGTATTCTAACTGCTCTTTCCCAAGGATGGTCTCAGGGTTCACTTGAAAACTTGTCTCAGAAGACAGAGCAGTTTAAGACCTAGGTTTTATCTGTAATCCTATAATCATCTCTATCTTTAATAAAAGATTCCAAAGTGAAGTTATGTCCTTTATATGACTGGCCCAACCTAGAATGTATTCAGGACTTTAAAAAGCAACCATATTCAAGATACTTAGAAGGAAAGAATGACAACCCTTCACCTCCCCAATCCTGCCCTAACAAAAACAGACAGTAAAACAAAAAGATTGTCCATTGTCAAGATCTAGACTAAAGGTTAACTTGGTAAGCAATTAAAATGCTCATTTTAAAGCATTCAAGTTTTAATCAACTAGGAAAACCACTCATACTTAATTACCAAATTTGTAACTAGTCAGAATTTCTCAAACTGAGAAATTTGTAAAGCTTATTATTTGAAAAACATTTTAAAATAAAAATGAAATCTCATTCAAAATTTCTAAATATCAGAAAACACATCTACTCTTAAGCACAACATGCTAACTTCATTAAACTAATCACAAAAAAAAATTTACAGTTTTTCAGCTAAGCATCATGGGCAAAGGAAAATGTAATTCCTGACCACAAACAGAAGTCATGATTAATTTGCTTCGGACAATGACAGGCCACAAAGGGGTAATGCCAACTAGCCAAATTTCACAATTAAATCATTCAGCAAGAAAAAAAGTGATGAACTTCAGAAACCAATATTTTTCTTAAGTCAAATTAAGTTTATAATAAGGCTAACAATTACAGGAAGCAGCTTAATCCACACTAAGGAATAGTCCTTTTTCCTGCATGTTTGTACTGGTCTGATAAAAAATAAACAAACTTCCTTGTCATTATGCTGTCCATTTTTAAACCATTAGCTACCATACAGAAGCAATCTTTATGCTAGGGAGTTGAAAAGGCTAAAACTGAAGATAGAGTAAGATGAGAAATGGAGTAAACCATATTAAAAGAGAAAACAAACATTATTTAGAAGGTATCATTCTAAACTATTGGTCTCCTACATTTAAAACTTAAACGGTTACTATTTCCAACCAGAGAGAAATCAACAAACCTTTGTGAGAAATAATGACATAATTGAAATTTCTAGATTTGAAAGACTAAAAATTAAAACCAAAAGTTAGAAACTTGTTAACAAGGAATCACTCTAAATTTAAAGACTTTAAGTTAACATAAAAGCACAAGAAGCCTTTTGTAACTAATCATGAAACTCAAATTATTTATATTTTTTAAAAGTACACATAAGGTGAAGGTGTTTCCAAACTGTTTATAATGTCCTACACTCTTTGATTGAATTCAACATTTTTAGAATACAATCTAATTTCAATTTAATTAACCCTAAATATTGTCCGGGCCTATTATCATCTTAATGTCTGTAAGGGATTCCTTCTAAACAAATGCACTTTAAGAAAAAAAACTTACACCAGAAATTGTTATTAACACTACTAAAACTTTAACCAAAATACCCCAAGGAGAAAATAACAGCACATTATTTTTGAAATGTGATAACGTGCCAATATTTTTAAAGGAAGTGTTTTCAGTGTACGCAAACACTTTTACAGACACACAATGACAAATGAAATTATCTATAATTTAAGTTTCGACTAAATTTAATATAGGTCAGATTATTGAGTATATTACACATTTCATTCCAAACAGTTCCATGGTTAAAAATAACAACGGGCGCCCCTTAGCGCCCATGGCTGGAAATACTCAGTTTAAGAGTTCCAGCAATTTTTTTTTTTTTTTTTGACATTCCAGAAAGTTTTCTGCCTCCACAATCTTTCAAATGCCAACACAAATAAGAAAAGCAGAACCCCTTAAAGGGACAGCTCAAGTTTTTTTTCTGGAGCAACTGGCAAGTAACAGATTTTTTGTTCCAACAGCGGAAAATGTCCACTTTAATATGGGTTACTGCGTTATGCTTAACATACGTAAGCAAAACGAAGAGAAAGTAGTAATAACAGTTTTTTACTTTAAAATTGTTTCAGTAACTTTCAAGACAACAAAAGATCCTGTGATTTTTCTCTGGCCATCTTTTTATCACGGAGATATTTCCGGTCTTTTGTTCTTTAGTGACATTCCAACTCCCTAAGCTTCAGACTCCTTTCCTCCAGCTCTATTTTTAAAATCTCGAGATTCTTGTGGACAAAAAAATCTAAAGTCCACCGTCCATCTCTCCAACCTACAGCTTTCAATTTCCTTCCAACAGTCCCCTGGCGACACCTCTAAACAGAGTAAACAAACTGCCCGCAACTCGAATTTCAAAACAGACGCTTTTGTCGGTCATTTTCTTCTCTGGGCGTCCACAGAAACCCACAGCGACCAGAAATTAATGCTCCAGGTCACTGCCACGGGAACTTCTCAGAGAAATCCCAGAGCCGGCCACCGCTAATCTTGCCGTCGGTCGTCGCTCCCCGCGGCGCTCCACCGACCGAGCCTTCCGCAAACTTTCGCTCCGTCTTCTCTCGCCCTCGGCGGCGCCGCGACTCCCTCCCGCGAGCCGAGGCGGCGGCGCCCCGGGAGCAAACCCTCCGCCCGAGTTCTCCCAAACTCGGGACTACGTCCGGACCTGTCATCGCGGTATTTCGCACTCAGCCACCCCCCCACACACACACACACAAAAAGTGAAGTTAAACTCCTAACAGTTCTCGCTTCCCCAAACAAAAGGACAAAAAGTGCTTTTCGCTGTCATTTTGTCATCACCTTCGGCTACAGCAGCATTACTTTCGATCTCCTACGGAATTTCTTTTTCAATTAGCAAGCCCCACGCTGACTTCCACTTGAGTATTTACAAGCCACACAAACTCCAAAACACACACACACAAAAAACCCCACTAAACGCCCTCGTCTGGGAACCCCACAAAGTCCTCACGAGAGGAGGGCTCCCAGGCCGAGGGGCTTGGCGGATCCGCGCCCGGAGCGGGCTCGGAGGCCGCGCGGGGGCTGGGGACACGCGTGTCCTCTAGGCCGGCGGCGCGGGCCCTGCTCCCGGGGAGGGCTCCGGGAGGACCACCGAGCCCGAACCGACCCCTCTCCATTTTCGGGAACGTAACCGTGAAAACTAGCGGGGCCGGAGGGCTGGCCCCGAAGCCTTCCCCTGCGCACAAACTTGGGCGCCAGGGGCGCGGGGTCCCAGCCGAGCGGGCGGGGGGCGTCCGGCCCCTGCGGGTCCGCCCCGGCCCGCCCGCCGCGAGCCGGGCCCGGCGCCTCCTTTGTGCGCCCTCCTCCCGGCCTCCCCGTACCCCCGGGCGCGCGGTCCCGCCCGGCCGTGACCTTCCCGCCCTCCCCACCATCCCGAGCGGGGAAAGGGGGCCGCCCCCGGCGGGGTTCGGGGGCCCGGGCCCGAGAGCCGGCTCACCTTCGTCCAGCAGCCGCTCGAGGTGGTTGAAGATCCCGCAGAAGTTGGGCAGGCTGCTCATGAGCTTCTTGTCGTTCATCAGCTGCATCAGGTAATCTGGGGTGGGCTTCGGCTTCTCCTTCGTTTCCATTTCCCCGACCATATTCCAGGCTCCGCAGCTCACTCCGCCCGCCGCCGCCGCCGCCGCCGCCGCCGGAGAGGAGGGAGGGGCGGGGGCGAGCCCCGGCCGCCGGCCGCTCGGGACTCGGCGTCCCACTCCGCGACGGCTCCCGCTCCCGGCTCCGCCCGGGCCCGGGGCGGCCGGCCGCGCGCTCGCCCGCCCCCGCAGGCACTTTCCGCCGGCCCGACGCGCTCCGGCGCGCGCTCTCGGCCGCCGGCTCGGCGCGTCCCTCACGAGGCCGGCGGGCGGGAGGCGGGTCTCGGCGGGCCGAGTGCGGGCGCGGGCCGCTGGCGCCGGACGAGGAGGAGCCGGGGCCGCCGCTCGTTCAGATGGTCGCGCCCGCTCAGCGCCGCCGCCGCCTGTGCCGCGGGCTCGGGGTCTCTCTGGGCTGGTCCCCGCCGCGGCGCCTCTGCCGCTGCCGCCGCGCTCTGACTGCGCTCCTCCTCTTCCTCCTCCTCCTTCTCCTCCTCCTCCTCCTCACTCACTTGGCGGCGGAGTTCGCCTCAGTTCAGGCGGCGCTGCCAGCGGCGGCGGCGGCAGCGGCGGCGGGGGGAGGGGCCGGCGCGGGGAGGCGGGGGGCGCGGCGGGCCGCGCAGGGCGGCCGTTAGCGGGCCCGGCCGGCGCGCTCCCGCTGGCCGCCGCCCCCCGGCCGGCGCGCGTGCTCTCTCCTCCTCCCGCGGGCTGGCCGGGCGGCCTCCGGGCGGGCGGCGGGGGCGTGACGGGAGGCCGCGCTCGGCGAGCCCGGGCCTGGGCGCCGGGACGGGGTCTCCACCCGTGCGGGCGAGCCCGCAGGGAGGGGGTGGGTGTGGGCCGCGGAGCCGACCGCCGGGGAGGGGCGGCGAGGGGTGCGGTGGCCGTGCTTTCCACAGGGCGGGGGCGCCCGCCCCCCGCGCTCCCGCCGCCGTGGGCCGCAGGCGTGGTCCGGTGGCGGGTTGGGCGGCAGGAATTCCAGCGGGGCGCACCGCGACGGTGCTGCGCTCGCCGCAGCGCGATCCCTCCGCCTCTCGTGTTACTATAGTTTTTTTTTTTTTTTTTTAATAAACCTCTCACCCACCCTCTCCGTCACCCCTAGAAAATAATTTTTTTTAACGTCCTGTTGCTTCACGGGGGACTTTTGGGGTGGGCGTCACGTGGCCAGACACGTAGCCGTGGGCCTGGAGAGCGCGTGCGCGCGTCGAAGCCGGTGACCACGCCCCTTCCGAGGGTCGCTCCGCCCCCGCCAGGCCCCGCGAGCGCGCGGTGGGGGAGGGGGCCCGGAGCGCGCCTGCGTGGGGCGGGGCGGGGCCGGGCCGGGCGGTTCGGGTCGGAGCCCTGGCCTGGTGCCCGCGGTGCGGGGGGCAGGGGTCTCCAGGCCGTTAGCCCCGGCCGTCGGGCCCGCCGCGGCGCCCGTCTCCAGGCACAGGCAGGTCCTGAGTCGCGGCGGCGGCGGCGCGCTGGTGGTGCGGGGAGAGCGCGGCGAAGGGGTTCGGGGCGCCCGGGCCCGGGGCTGCGGGGCGCCCGGCGGGGCGCGCCGACTCCCGCTCGCTCCCGGACGGAGCCACGCGTGACGGCCGTCCCGTCGTCTCCGTGGCTCCCTTCGGTGTTAGTGATTTGCCGGGGCGCTGGGAAGCAGCACAGCTGGAAGGGACCGCGCGGGCGGCCCCCGCACGGCGCAGGGAGCTCCGCCGACGGTGCGGGCGCGCCTTTAGGGGCAGGCTGTCCTGGTGCACCGTTCCGTTATTCTGGAAGTGCATTGTAGTCAGAGGTGAGCCCCGCGCTTGGCTCCGCAAGGAGGGGACCCGCCTAAACGGCGTTTGGAGCGTTTCGCTTCGTGGTGGCATCAGTATTATTCAGTGACAGAATGAGGCTGCAGTGTGAAATACAGAGCATGTACATAGTTTGGAAAGCTAAAGTCAACATTTGTTTTTACAGACAAAAAAAACAAAAAATGGTAGGCAAGAGGTTTTTCCATGCAAGATGATGGATTTCAAATATTTAGATTTGTTTGGGAGGGTTTTCTGAGCTGCTGCAATGAAGTCCTCTTTGATTTATAGAAGTTGTCACTGAGTCTGCATGTGCGTTTTATTGCAAGTCCTTTATAACATGTTCAATTAATGTTGACAAAATAATGTAAAACTGGCCGTGGTGAGAGTATTTGTGGCTGATATTTTCAGTTAATCATGTCTTACTGTCTTACTATGTTCTAAATGTGAACTTAAGTGATTTTAGTTGTAAAATTTTGCTTCACACAAATTCCGAGGTGCACTTCTAAGTTTGAGTTGTATTGAAGGTACTAAAGGAATCTCAAACAAATAACTCTTGAGTGGCCAGTAGCTTCTGGCCTTTTCATTTAAAGAACACAAAAGTTCACTTTTAAAATTAAGTTACTTTGGTAGAGGGAATGGTATTACCTTGATGAAGAAAGTTTAAAACATCTAACTCTCAAAATATTTTAAATTCTCCAACAGCTATAGCTGTTTATAGACCCATAGAATATTCACCTACCTAATTATCTATGTAAAGATAAATTGTATAAATGCAGGGAATAGTAAATCAAAAGCTGTTTCTTTAAATAATGTAAAGCAGGCTTCCTCAGTACCTAGAAAAATGTTAGTTTTAAAGTTGAATTATTCATTTGACCAGTTAGTGTAAAAGATGCAGTCTTCCTCCTTAATTTGCTCGGTTGTTTATTAAGCTCCTAGGTCTTGTGCTAAATGGCTTTACCTATATATCTCATTTAATCATCAACCTCGTGGCTTAGGTTATACTGTCATCCTCATTTTAAATAACCAAAAACCCAAGGAGAAAGAGGTTAAATAACTTGCCCAAGACTATAGTTAGTGAGTCCTGAGTCTGGGATTCAAATCCAGTTCTATTTTATTCTAAAACCCATGTTCTCTGTTTTTTTGATGACCCTATCCAGTAAAACAGCTTGAACCCTGTGACAGTATTCCACCATTTTTGGCCCATAGAAACCACCATTTCATGAGGCTCAACCACTTATTTAGTTGAACCAGATTAAAGAACAATAATAGTAATACTCACTTCCTGTGTATTAAGTCCCTTATGGTTACAGCATTTGATAACACAATATTAGGTAATAAAAGGTAATATTAATATATTACCTTTTTAGATATATGTAGATGACTTCTCTGCTCACAGTTCTTCAATGGTTTCCTCTCTCAGAAAAAAAAAAATCTGAGGAGCCCACCAAGGCCCATGAGCTTAAGTATGTGGCCCTCACACGTATCTGACCTTATGTCCTTGCTCTCCTCCCCAGCTCACTTGGCTCCAACCCCCTGGAATCCCTCTGGATCCTTAAACATTCCAAGCATGCTCTCCTATTCCAGGACTCTGCACTTGGGGTATCCTCTCCTTGGAAAGCTTTTCCCCAGGCATCTGCAAGCCCTGCTCCCCCACTTCTCAGGTCTTACCAGAGCAGGCCTCCCTTGGCACCTTATATAAAATATGCATGCATGTATACACATGCATGCACACTCCTCCATTATTCTGTCTACTCACCCCCCCCTTTTAATTCTTTTCACAGCATTTATTTCCACCTGACATGTTACGATGTCTATGGCTCAGTTTGTTTGCCTCCTCCCACTATGCCACAAGCTCCATAAGAATAAGGACTTGACTTTCTTCTTTTTGGGAATTCCCAACATCTAGAACAGCATATAGTAGGCACTTATTAAATATGTGTTCAAAAAGAAGTACTAAGTACTTGTTATTTACCAGGAACTCTAACAAACCTGTACCTACATTGTTTTCATCCTCACAGCAAGCATTTTAGGTAGGCATGACTAGCTATATTTCAGAGATGAGACGGCTGATGCTTAGAGTGGTAAGCAGCTAGTGAAGGCAGAACTGGGTCCACACAAGGTAATGCCTCTCATTGGAGACAACTGACCTATCTCCAAGTAGCCACAGTGTCCCTTGCTTCTCTCTCGCAATCCTGCCTCACGCATTCTAGGTATGTATTATAGGGTTAGTTACCCAACATATGACAAATGCAGTGAGGAATAAAAAATTGGGGGGGCTTACCTTAAAAAATTTCAAGTTACTGTGGAAAGACTATTTAATTATGTTATTACAAAAATATCTTAATCTAGTATTCAAAATAAGTTACAACATACACTGAATATCTATATGGATGAGCTTCCATTTGAAGATCTTAATAAGTAGCTTTTTTCACTGTGAAAAATTATGTCATCTAATATGTTGACACTAAAAATGGTTACATATTCTAACATCAGCAGTTAACCAGGAGTGGGAATATATTTTCTGTCTCCTAAATTTGATTGGCTATATTTGCTTACTGCTGTTCTTGATGCTTAAAATACAAAATTACAGTACTCCAAACGTTTATCACCACAGAGTTTGTGCAGGAACTAAAATTTTCCTCGGACTTAAGATTCTGCATTTAATGGCTTTTTGTCCCAATGATTTTTTTAAAAATCTTAATCCTTAAATTTTCCTTAAAACGAATGGGATGTTCTAGTATCTTTGTAAAGTATTAATAATTGTTTATTGTCTCAATAGATTTCTTGAATATCCTTTTTAATTGTGAAATGGCTCCTCAGGTACTATTTCAAAGACTGAAAATGAAACATTTCAAGTTAGAATATCTTAATCAAATATTTCCAGTACCTATAATATGTAAATCCATGTCATTAACCCATAACTAAGGTGCTGACAGGCTAAGCTGGAAGTTATTAGCATGTGCAAGTACATTTGAAAAGTTAACTAGTAACTGCTAAGTAAGGGCCAAAGACAACATGCTGTAAAAATGTCAAATGAGCACTAACATTCCCTGCCTGGAAACCATAGCAAGACTTCACTTGGGTGGGTTTGATATGGAGGTGGAAAAAAGAGTAGAAGGGCTGGGAGTAGGAAGACTTGGAAAGTGGAAAAGTACCAGGCAGGGTAGGAGTTTCCACAGAGAGTACCAAATGTCAAGCTACAGTGTTTTTACATGAAGATACTTGGGATTTTTTTTTTTAATACAAGGAAAGGAATCAATCGGATAGTAACATGGATTCCTTTCAGTGAAGTATATTTATATCTCTTAGTACAGACACAGTATTTGTAAAATGAAAGGCATTCCTCTTCATATCAGTTCTAATATTAATTGTGCTGCCTTTTTAAACCACTAACATGATAGTTCCAGATGTAGTACTAACATTTTATTAATATCTTAACCCACTGCATGGCAGTTAAACGTTAACTGATGGTGTAAGGTTTCTACTTATTTGACCCTAAGTGAAACTTTAGAGGTAAAAATATTCTCAGCCAGGATGCAGGCCCTTCTGCTATGTAATCCAACCTTTATTCCAAATTTAAACAGAAACTTCAACTAAAAAACAAAAGTGTCTATTAATTATAGGAATATGAGTAAATTAAAATGAAATTTGTTTTGATCCACTTTCAGACTGGCTTGTGGTTTTATTGTTGCAAAACAATTTCAGTAGTGTTCCCCTGGACTAGGTTCATTTGTTTACTTGTTTTTTTGTTTTGTTTTTTCCTTCAGGATCTGGATCCTTCAGGATGAATC